TATAGCACAGGGAACTATATTCGGTATCTTGTAATAGCTTATGGTAAAAAGAATATGAAAATGAATATATGTATGCTCATGTATGACTGAAGCATTTGTGCTATACACCAGAAACTGACATACTGTAAACTGACTATATTTCTATAAAAAATAGAGACAGAAAAAAAGAAAAAATAATAAAACAAAAAATGTGTGGTGGGAGTGGTAGGAGGCTCTATTTATAGGTTTGGCATTATTTTAATTTTTTATTTTAATTTTTAACTATATGCTTTACCTTATACTTTAAAATAATATACCTAACGTAGAAGACAAAATAGTCCAAACACCTAAACTAATCAATTCATTTCACTTAGGTAGTCTGACCACAAGAATTTCACTTTTTCCTTTTTCTTTGTGACAGGTTATATTTTATGTTTACCTTTCTGGGTTTAAAGACTGGGGTTCTGTCTTTAAACACAGTATAGTCCCTGGAAATCTTCAAATGGAAGCTATAAACTGGCATTATCATATAATGAAAATATAGGTAAGCTTCGCAACAAAATCTTTTAAACATATTACACACTAGCCTACCAATTTTTTTAAGTTATTTATCCTCTTATATGGAAACTTGCTTAACTTTTATGAATTATAAATAGCATACAATATTAGCAGAATAACTGTAAAACTGAAAACTTAAAAAAATATGGATTTTAATCTTTTGTAATTAAATCATATGAGAATGGATGTGAAGGAATGCTAGGATAATGTCATTACACCATAACAAGATATTCAAAATTAGCAAACACCTGTTTATTCATGACCATTTCAGACCACAGGTGCTTTGATATTCAAAGCATCCCCTTAAAGTGACTCAAATTCCAGAAGAGCAAGGCAGTACTATACTTAAAATGTAATGACAAAAACAGTATAGAGGTTCCTCAAAAAAATTAAAAATAGAACTACCATATGACCTAGGAATTCCACTTCTAGGTATTTATCTGAAGAAAATGAAATCCTTATCTTGAAGAAATATCTGCACTCCCATGTTCACTGCAGCATTACTTATTTACAATAGTAAAGGAAACAACCTAAGTGTCTACTGACAGATGAATGGATAAAGAAATGTGGTGTGTGTGTGCATGTGTGTGTGTATATATATATACATACAATGAAATACTCAGCCTTAAAAAAGAAGGAAATCTTGCCATTTGTGACAACATGGATGGACCCTGAGGGCACTGTACTAAGTGAAATAAGACAGAGAAAGACAAATAGTGAATGATCCCACTTACATGTGGAATCTAAAAAAAAACTGGACTCATACACAAAGAGAACAGATGCCCACCCCCCACCCAACCACATGGGCAAAATGGGTAAAGGTAGTCAAAACATACAAACTTCCAGTTATAAGATAAAATATGTCCTCTAGATGTTAATGTACTGCATGGTAACTTTAGTTAACAATAATATATTATGTATTTGAAAGTTGCTGAGAAAGTAGTCATCCCTCAGTATCTGAAGATGACTGGTTGTAGACTAAGACCTCTGCGGATACCAAAATCCGAAGATACTAGCCTCCCTTATAGGGCATAATGCAGTCAGTTCTTCGTGTCCATGGGTACAGAATCTTCAGACAGAGTGGGCCAACTGTAATTCTTAAAAGCTCTTATCACAAGAAAAAAAAGTACAGATGTCAACTAAACTCACTTTGGTAATCATTTCACAATACGTATGTTTATCAAATCATTATGTAGCACACCTAAAAGCTAATACAATGTTCTAGGTCAATCATACCTCAATAAAAAAAAATGACACTACATATAAGAAGTATAAAATAGTGCCTCAATGAATAGGGGAAAAAATGTAATGCTCTCAAAGTGTTTGATTTACATAGGAGAATTGGAGACATACAGTTAGAGGTTACATCTTTCAAAAGATAACTCAGTAAAAAACATTCACTTTTCATTGCAAGAGAAATAGGTTAACTTTTAGTTATAAAAAATTTTTAAAGAACTGAGCCTCTTGTTTTCTTTTTAAAATGTGTACCTCATAGGACTAAAACCAGTTTACAAAGGAACTCATCCACCAGAGGGAGCCCTTACAAAACAGGAGAAAAAATGTTAACAGCAAAATAGTATACACAAAGATTAGGATACATCTTAGAAAACAAAATCCTTCAAGTCCATGAATTCCATACAATCCCGCGTTATTTTCATGAGAAACACAGTTTTTATCATTGCAATCGGCTCCCTCTAGTGCCCATGAATGGAACAAATATATATGAAAGAATTGTAACTAGTCACCCATAGCAAGTCAACTAGAGAAGTAATATTCATCCTTTCCACTCCACCCCCACAACCACTGTACTCCTTCCCATCCCTCCCCAAGTTAGTTCTGGGACCACTTATTTTGAAAATCAGCCACCTATACACACAATGTCAACAATCACCCTGAAACAGTCACCTAATTCTGGGTTTAGTAATTCCAGGAAAAGCCCATGTCATCACCAATCTTGGCTTCCCTTTTACCATTTAGTTACAGAAATTTTCTGTCTGTCTTAGAGAATCTTGAGGCCAATAAATTTAAATTTATAAATAAACAATATCTAATAATAACTACCTATTAATCAAGAATATATTAATTTTTGAAAATGACTTTTATAAAGGACTCAATAAATGCTGCATTACCTCATGTAAACCTCACAACAACCCCATGAGTATGTACTGTTATTATCCTTACTTTATAGATGAGGGCAATGAGGCTTGTAAGTCTCACTGCTAGTAAAGAACAGACCACAAACTACAGTGCTAAGTACTGTGCTACACCATAGATAAGAAATTAACTTGAGTTTTTTCTTGAGATAATTGTAGATTCACATACAGTTGTTTAAAAAAAAAAAGAAGAGTACAGAAAGATCCCTTGAACACTTTGCTTGGTTTCCTGCAATGATAACATTTTGGAAAACTAGAATATATTGTCACAAACAGGATACTGATGACAGTACAATCTATCAACCTCACTTAGGGTTCTGTCTAAAGGATTTTAACCAGCCAATACACACTGGCTTTACTATCAACACTTCTAGATACTCCAGATAAAATTTTTTCAATTGTTTTTACCTCTCTTAACTGGTCTTCACTTATAATTTAATCTTTAAAAGAAATTTCAGGGTTTCTCACTATCCTATAGGTTATGTATCTCAGTATCCTCATTGTCTCCACGTATGTGAACTCACTTATTCTAATTTCTCCAAAGCATGGGTCTTAGGGTCAAAGATCCTAAAATTTAATCTCAGTGTTCTGCCCTGTACTTAATTTAGGCAAATAATTTAACCTCTCAATATTTCCCTCACCCATAAAATGGGAACAATAGTACCTATTTCAAAGAGTTCCTGAAGATCAAAGTTTGCCTGCAAAGCAACTGGCACAGTACATGGCACAAAGTAAGTACTCACTAACCTTTAACCATAATTATTTACTATTCCTTCACCGAGATTTTTCTAATAGCAAATCCATCCATTCCAACCTCCTTAATAGCCTAACCTTACCATTATATGCCCATCTGTTCATTCTTACAACAAAAATGCAGTGTTAACACATTAAGAAGATAAACAGATGAATCAAATACAGAACTTTTCTTCACAAGAGCACAATTACTAAAATTTAAGGTAGACAACAATGCCAAAAAAAAAAGTACAGGTAAAGTTCTCTGATGGTGGAAGTAACACATGACCTTGCTCTTTAAGATTTCATTCATTTGACAAAAACTGGAAGATGTGGGACAGGAAAAGAGTGGGATGTAACATTTTCTAGAGTAAGGACATAAGGGTAACTAAGGTGCCAAGAGCAAAAGGGGGGCATATATAGGAAACAGCAAGCAGTTCAGGTTGGCTGCAGTGCAGGATGCCAGAAAAGAAATAAAGGAAATAAGACTAAAGACTGGGCAAGGCCAGATCCTGAAAGGCTTTGAACCTAAGTCCAGATCTAAATTTCATTCTGTCTGTAATGAAAAGTCAAAGATTTATGAGTAATACAATTATAAGTTCATAATTATATAGCCAAAACATTAATGTAAAATAGACTGGAAAAGACATCTCTACTATTTAGAAACCTGCTGATACAATCAGGTGGGTAGTGAAAGCATGGAAAGGTCTCAAGGGAAAAAAAAAATACTAACATAATTGAATCAATACAATTTGAAAGTCAATGAAATGTGGGAAGAAGGAAGTGAAGACGATTTAGGTTTTAAGTCTTAGTTCTGTGAGCTGCGCTGAAAAAAGATGGCTCCCAGACTTCTCTATAAATCACTTACTCATTTTCCTGAATTCCAAACTATATTTTAACTTATTTACTGGATTGAGTAATTTTTACCTGTGGAGTGAAACAAATATCTTACAAGAAGATGGTATAGTAACTAATAAATGCAAGAAATCTAGAAGATGGCAGGTATGCTGAGTAGAAGAAGGGAATGGGCTGCTTATTACGTTTGATATATCACAACACGCTTATTAAAAGTAAGATTCAGGAAACCTGTCATCATCTGTTCTTATAATAGGAACCAGGATTCCTGTACTCGGTGGTATATCGCCAGTGTCTAAAACAGTGTCTGGAATTCTGTTAGCACTGAATAGATATATTTGTTGAATACATAAGTGAATGAGAAAAAAAAAGGTTATTAAATTTTAAGAAAGGTTCTCCATTGGCCTCAATGCTCTGAGGGCTCAATATTCTCTCCCATTCTTTCTGTTATTAAAAAGGCCTTTTGTTGCTAAACTTTTGAAAATATAAATTGTAATATATTTAGTAATGGTTATGATAACCACTTTAATGCTAAATTATAAACTACTAAAGGTCAAAAGTCAAATATATCGTGAGACACAAAGTAAATGATATCTGAGATTTTACACAGATTTTAAGGTATCTCCTAAATTCCATTTTGTAATTTCGAAATTTAAAGGCAAACATATTTGTTACAGGATGGGAAATCTGAGTATGTTTCTTTGTAGAGTTTTGTCATCTTACCAGGTCTTTCCTTCCCAGTGCCCTTAGACTCAGCAAATTTTTGTATCAAGCCTTCAACTGTAGTATTAGCCATGTTATTTATAAATTCTTCATGGACCTATTAAAAATAAGATAGATAAGTTTTTTTATTTTCCATAAATATTCTTATTCTATTTCAGACAAAACTTCCACAAAACAGTTAAAAATCATTACACCAAAATATGTGTTTTTTGACCCAGTGCCTTTGAAAATTTTCATTTACCTAACAGGCTCTGTTACCTCATTTAAACTGTTAGTAGATCTGTGATTACAAACCACTGTGGACATGAACCCCTTAAGATACGGCCTCATGGCCTTAGAAGTCAAGGGACTGCCCTGTTTCCATCTTTGAGTATTTTAGAGACATAAATTTTATGATAAATAAAACTTGTATAACAATGAAAATAGTTTAGATCTTTAGTAACAAGGAATAAGGGACAATCTTTCTCTACTGTATTTCAATGCATTCTAAATGTCATCACTAAACCTCTTTCACATTTTTGGAAAATTTCTAAGCACAAGTTCCACAACTTACTGAAGCTGCTATTCTAAATTTAAAATAGTAAAACTTTAAAAAAGAAATATTCAAAAATTGTCAATCTCAGAATTTTAATGTAAAGAGGATTGAGCATAGTTAATTTTTTAAATTTAAATTACCATCCTTGATAGGCAAACAATCAAAAATTCAGGTTATTTTATATTTAACACACATAAATGCACTCTTTATCTGAAATAATTCAGTACCACGTTATGAGTTTGGATTTTTAAAGAGTCTTAAATGAATATAAAATTCCCATGAATCAGTTCAACAAAAGTAAAAACTTACCTGGCCTATCTGCAAATGAATTTCCTTTATAGCACTTGACAAAGATCCTATAATTTCCTTTATGTGAATAAGATGAGTTTCTTCAATATCTTGAAATTTCTGGGTAGCAAATATAAAAAATTACACACACAGACAGATAATATTCTGAAGTCATCTCAATACAGTTAACCAAATTTAGCAAGTTACTATTATTATATAATGTTTAACAATGCTTCGAGACAAATGACTCTGGTAAACATACTGAAATAAAGCATTGAAAAAAGTTAACTTTTTGTTATGCCATTTCTCAGGCAAATATGAATTTTTTCAGAATTAGAAGATCCTACAAATTAAAATCTACAATCTTGGTCAGAAAATCAGAAGGAAACCCACGAAAGAATAGTGTCACAAAAGCCAAGGGAGAAGTGTTTTTCAGAAACTTAAAAACAATTAGTCGGCAGAGCTAAAACTATAGTTTACTTCTTAGGGCTTTACAATTTAGCCCACAGATTCTCAAAATGCCTAATATTTGAAATGTTACTTAGTACACAGTCTCCAAAAGAGGTAGTATGTGGTCAAAGAAATTTGGGAAAGCCTGTACACATACTCTATCTCAGCAGTTCTCAACTGAAGGTGGGGGTGATTCAGATGACCTGGGGGATATTTTCAATCTATAAAACACATAAATCCTCCATGAGGTGAGAATGTTGTTCGGAAAAAATTCCCAGGTTATTCTGATACTTATTCCCCTGGAAGAAAACCACTGCTAGATTTGGCTTCACAATAAACATATTAAAAACTGAAATAACTGAGAAATACTAAAGTAACAAAACTTGTTTCACTCTGCTTAACCTAATGTTTTCCAAATTTCTTTGACCACACAACCCCTTTTTTCCCTTCTTCTCTGCATATCTATTAATATCTCAAAGAACAATAATATTCCTCAAAACAGGATTTGGGAAATGCTGAACTAGTCATTTTCAAACAAAAATAAATTTGTCATTTCTGCTGCACAAACCTGATTACCCATTTTCTTGCCAAATTATATCAGTTCTAAGGAGCAGGCCTAATGTTTGTTATTTTTCCCTGGTTAGTTTATCAAATTAAATTCCCTCATCCTGTATTTAATGTCCAATTTTCTTCAGCACTGAGTTACATGATCAGAAATCACTAAGCCAAATGATCATATCCATATTTGTGTAAAGGGTCTGAACTTAAAAAAATCAGTAATAGTGAAATTATAGTTTTGGCAGTTATATAACAGTAGTCCAAAAACTTAAATCAATTTTATTCATGAGGAATAACAGAGTTAAAAGAAATTGCCTGTCTTGACTGATTCTGACAAAGTCCAATGAGAATACCAGTATTGCAAGTTCCTGAATTACTCTTAAGAAATTAGGAGCATTCAGCGGGAGCATGATTATATTTTATGTTCATACTATAAGAATTCACCCTCAGCTTAAATTTCTGCAGTTTCATGCTCAAGATATTTCCTCATAGACAGACCCAAATCTAGGAAAGCCTAGTCAGTCACTGAATTTCATTTGGATGACCCCTAATTCCAAAAACAAGTGTGCCTTCCTTCTCTTTTAAAATACCTACAATGAATAAGTAAAATCCTTAATTACTTAGAAATATTGAAGCTTGAATCCACAAAGAAACTCAAAACATGATTCAGATGCAATTTTGAAATTGTGCTTATTTTTTTTTGGTGGGAAGACACTACTAAATATCACAATTCCTCAAAATTAATGAATACTAAGCTTAGAGCAATTCAGCAACAGGAATGTATCTCAAATGTTTGAATATAAATGAATAAACTTTCTTAAATCAGATTTTTCCTCCTTGCAATTTCAAATTCACTGTTCATATGCATTGTTACATTAATTTTTTTAAAAAGTACAATTTTGTCAGCCACTAGAGATACATAAAAGCACTCTAATACTCCTTAATATGAGGGTGTTGCTTAAGCAAATCTCAAAAGTTTCCTTGAACTAGCCATATAACTCTTTATGAATTTTTTCAGAATTTAAAGTAAACAAAATCTCCCTACTGTTTCACGTTTTTCAAGTGTCATTAACTGGCGAAAAACATAAGCACAGAGTACAATTAAAATCATGCTTATTGTCAACTCAAATGAAAAAACTTAAATCACAAATACTCCAAGCAGATTCTAAATTCCTTCACCACAGGGACTCAATTTCTTTTCCCACTGGTAGATATATGTCCTGCCACCCAAATTTGATTCTCACTAGATTGACAGGCCCCTTCTCACTGGGATTAGGTCTACCTGCTTGGCCTAGAACAAAAGGAGAGAAGTAAAAGAATTCTTTTCACTTCTAAATAACCCAAATTACAGTCTATTGTCTATTAAGAAACAAAAGTTAACCTGTTCTACAGTTGTGCGTCTGTAACAGAGAGAGCACCAAAGAGAGAACACACATTAGCACAGTATACTATCGTCTTTATTTAAAAGCAGCATGGTCAAACATCTGCTCAGACTAATTAATGTTTCCATCTTGGAAATAGCAGGGTAAACAACTAAAATGTCTATTTGAAAAAAAAAAGCAATGTGGAAGCAAAAAAGGGTAAGGAGAGGGGAAAAGGAGGGCTGAAAATTCTTTAAGAATACTTTTATAATATAAACAAACAAAAAACAGTGACTCCAGCAAACTCTAATTCCTATTTTTTCAAACTGAATTACTGAAAGGCAAATATTTTCACTGATAGAAGCTATTTTGTTAAAAAATTAATACATCAATAATGATTGCCTATAAATGTGTTTCTAACATTTAAAAGTTAAAAGGGAACTTGGTGAAGTCTACAATGACCTCAGTTGCTATAGAAATTGAAACTTTTTAATCTCATTAGAGTTGGAGGCTCATTTAATGCTAAACTAAACAAAATCTATCTTGAAACATTATCATTTCCCAGCTTTCTTCCTTCTCTGACTTCTCCTGCTTGAGTTTCAGCACCTCTCCCCTCTCCCAAACTGACAATCACGAGACTCTCCGAGCTGGGCCCTTTCTTCCCACACTGTATCCAAAGATAATGTCATACGGCTTCGTGTACTGACAAACCCCTATTTCATAAAGGCCCAATCCTTTATTCAAAATCTTTGGGACCAGGTGTTAAGGAATTCAAATATTTTGGACTTTTAAAATTAAAGATAACATAGTAATATTACCATGTATCTCACAATACAACCAGCAGGATCTGCAGTGGTATCTGTCAAACACTAAAGGAAAACATGTATATTCAGTCTAAAGGCAGCCTATAAATATTCTCACATCAATTCAAGTTAAGTTTTACTGCCAAATGAGTTACAGAAAAAAAAATACTTGGTTTTCAGAGCTTTTGGAATTCAGAATTGTAGATAAGGGACTGTGAACACTATGCCCAACCCAGATTACTTCAATCCTCCAAAACTGCCTACTTGATGTCTTCACTTAGGTATATGCAGCTTAAAATTAACATGTTCAAAACTGAACATCTAATCTAGTTCTGACCCTTCAAACTAACAGCTCTTCATCTAGCCATTACCATTCATCTCTATTCACATAGGCTTACAAGAAAAAACCTGAAAGAGATCTTCATCTGCCTTAGAATTCCCTCATCCACCCCACCCCTGCCACCTCCAAATGCATTCAGTTCTCTCCGTCTCCAAGACTACCACACTGAACTTTACAACCTTCTTGCCTAACTACTACACTGCCTTACAAACCAGACTCTTGATTCTCCTTTGGCCTCACTATAATCCATTCTTCATGAAACTGCCAGAATTCTTTTAAAATGCAAATCAGATCAGATCATATCCCTGCATACAGCTATTCAGTGTCTTCCAACTGTTCTTAGAAGAAAATGTAAACCCTTACTAAAGCCTGGTCCCTGACTATCTCTTTAATTCCATTTCTTACCACCATCTCTCCTTACTCAGTTTTAGTAAGCATTTTTTACCTTCTAGACTGTGACAGCTCTTTTATACCTCTGGGTCTTCATACTCATGGTCCCCAATACCTGGAACACTCTTGCCCTAGAATGAGTCTCTTACTGATTCTTCAAGTCCCACTTTTAGATATCACTTCTCCAAAAAGGCCTTTTCTAACTCCCTAATCCAAATTAGGTAACCTCTATTATTCTATCTCACGGAAGCCTGTTCTTTCCCTCTGTAATATTTACAATAATTTATAACTTTCTATTTAAGCATATATTTAATGTCTGCCTCCCTCCTCTATACTGTACACTCCACTTAGAGAAGAGAGAACTGTTTTATTTACATATATACTGTATACAACTATCATCTAGCACAGTGCCTACAACATGGTAAGCAAAGATGGATACATTATGTCTGCACACAGGCATGCAAGCCTTTTAGTTTCTGAGATGTGAATCATTCATAACTCCAGGTGAGAAAACTCCCTGGAGTCTAAATAGTCAGATTGATAGAGTCCTTCTTCACATTTACTGAGTGCTCACCACGAACTGGAAACTGTTTTAAGGTGCTAAGGAGATATAGCAGTCAACAAATCAGTAACTATTCTCATAGAACTTACATTTTAGTGGGGAATAAAGCCAATAAAAAATATGGGTAGAAGAGCCAATGTGCTTCACCACATTACTAGTCCCTCAGATGTGATGACTAAAAATAATGTTTTGGGCTGGGGACCAAGATGGCAGAGTAGAAAGAGCCAGAGCTCAACCCCTCTCATGAACACACCAAAATCACAACTAACTGCAGAACAACCATTGATTAAAAAAAATTAGATCCAACCAGAGAAGCGCTTTCATAACTAAAGACATAAAGAAGGAAACACAACGAGACAGGTAGGGTGGATTTGCAGTATAATCAACCCTCATATCCCCAGAGCGGATAACCCACAAACTGAAGAATAATCATACTACACAGTTTCACAGGAGTGAGAGTCTTGACACCCACATCAGGCTCCCCAGCCTACGGGTTCGGCACCAGGAAAACAAGCCCACAGAGCACTTGGCTTTGAAGGCCAGCGAGGCTTAACTGCAGGATCTCCACAGGACTGGGGGAAATAAAGATTTCACTGCTAAAGGAGACACACAAAATCTCATGCTTAGAGGGACCAAGGGCAAAAGCAGTAATTTCA